AAAAAAAAAAAAAAAAGGAAGAAAAGAAAAGCATAACAACACACCAAAAGTCCCAAACAAGCATCACACATTTAAGTACTCAGCCAATTTAGGCAAAATTCTTAAGAGCTACTGGCCTTTATGTTGTCCACAAGGTATGCATTGTGTGCAGCTGACCCAAATCGGAGGACTTCAAAGAGATCTTGTAAAGCTCGGAAAGCTTTTTAACATCAGCCGATTTGCAAGGCTGAGTTTGCTGAGAGTTGGCTGAAGTTTTGTTTGCTTTTGTCAAACGTGCTGTGGCAAGCATATTCTTCAGGAGCGTTTGCAGCTGGCGCCAGAATTTAGCACAGGCCTTGGGATTTTCGGTGGCCAGGGAAGTGTTCTCAGATACATGACGTGCTTCGAGCAGACGAGTTAGGGCTGATTCAAGGAGCTGTGTTGCACAGGCAAACAACAAATAACTGTTAAGGAGATCTTTTAAATATATGCAGAGGTGAAGATAATGTTATACTACCAATGGAGATCTTTTTTTTTTTATATATATATACTACTAAAACTTACCTTAAATAGTTTAGGGTAATAACAATAACTATTAACTACCATATTTAATATACAAATTTTTTCAGTACTTCAAGACATTTGTTTTTTAGGGTGTGATTGGATATGGATTTGATTGGTTTTTTTGTTAACCATAGTTAATTTTGAAAAAGGTAGTATGATTAGTTGTTGGTGGAAATTTAAGTTTAAATTAAAATAACATTTAAAATAAAATAATCAAGTTGATTTGAGATAAAAGTAGGAGAAAAATAATTAGAACTTTAGAAGTGATGGTTAATTAAAATTATGCGAGTGGATGAATAGTGAATTAAAGTTGACGTGATGTGTAAGAATGAATGTTTGATATTATTAATTATATTGATAATATTGATGACAGTGAAATTGAGTTAAAGTTAAGTTAAAGTTGAGTGTTGATTGATTTTTTATAGGTTAAGTTTATATCCAATCACACCCTTAGAACCCTCGAGGATAATTATTAGTTCAGTAGAAAAGTAAAGCCAAAACTGAAAACATACCGAGCTTGAGTGAAGATAGCTCGACAGGCTAAACAACAAAGCCGATCTATCAACAAGAATGGTCAGGAACATCGCGGGATGCGTCTTGGGCCCATAGAAATCAACCGACTTCTGCCAGTTCCTTTCTGCAAGTGAGGCATACTGTTTCACCTTATGAACAACACCATTATTGTCCCCTTTAGCCAAATTATTCTTCTTTTGATCCGAGCCAAAAAACCTCAAGCAGCAGTCCCTTTGATAGCAAGCCAGCTGATAATGCGCATATGCAGCCTCCTGCTTTCGCGAGTCACCCAGTGCCTCATACATTGCCAGAGCCTCCCGTATTGCATCATTTGCTGAGATTTCATGATTTACATGTTCGAACTGAGTTTGACCAAGACCAGAAATCGAGTCATCTTCAAAGACACAAACCTTGGCAACAGTGTTCTCTCTTGCAAGTAGCATGCCGAGCTTCAGATGCGTATGAGCCAGCTGTGTGTACACCTCATTCTTGAGATCTCCAGGTGCGGGACCTGTTTTCTCGACACCACGGGCATTTAACTCCGTTTTTGCTGCTCCATAGTACCGTAGGGCTTCGCTGTACTGTAACTTGGCAGTCTCGAGTGCATGCACATATGCATTTTGGAAAACTGCATGTTGCTTGAGATTTTCGATCTTCGGAATCATATCCTCGGCTAGTGCACGGCGCCCGTGGCCTAGATTGCAGTTGATCAAGATCACATTCGTATAGTCCCCCACTTGTTTAAACGCGTCAATTGCCTTCAAGAAAGCATCTTCGGCTTTTAACAAGTCTTTCATTTCCAGTCGATAACGTCCCAATTCATTGCACGTCCATCCTTTCTTCTTAAGTACAGACTGTACTTCCACCGAACTAGCGGGAAGTCCAAGCATAGCCATGAGAGCTGTCTCGTAACAAGTCAAAGCAACAGACAGGTTATAATCCGCATCTTCGGTTATAAAACCCCTCAAGTATTTGAATATACCACCAGTTTTAGCTGCTGACTCTTCTTTAAAAGAACTTTTCGGAACTGCGTCTTCTTTAGACCCGGTGAGTTCCATTTCCTCCATAGTATCCGCAATCCTACAAGTTTCATTCCCAATTCTTTCATCACCATGAAAATTCCTGGCGTCCACTTTCTGCGAGACACTACCTTCACAGTCACTATTACGAGTGTACAAGCTGGCTTTGCCATATGCTTTTCTTCCTTGTTTCTTGTTGTAATTTGACGAGTATGCACCACTGCTGCTGGCACTACTACCACTACTTGCCCTGTCACTCCTGCAACTGCAGTTTATTAGAGAGCACGATTGGCAGTTCTGATTAAATTTCCCCATCTTCTTTTTCAGCCTCACAAATTCCTTTACTACCTCAGGTGGCATTTTTAGGTCCTTGGCACATTCTTTCCTCCGTGTCTGCCTCGAGGTCTCCTGACCCTTCTTCAAGTAGAACTCAACAAAAACATCCCCGACCAGCGTCCAAGCCCTGGCCCAGAAGAGTAAATTAGAAGACAGGCCATCGAAAGACAAAACATCACTGCATGCGGAGGAGTTTGTCATATCTTCACTTTGAACGTTCGTGTGGGCTAATGAGCCAGTCCACACCATGGTAGAGATAAATCTTGTGTCCTGAGGCATTGAACCATAGAGCAGGCAAGCTAAGTCCACGATCTTCAAGGCTTGGTACAGCTGGCCATCATCTTTATAAGCCTGTCCAAGGGCCAGATAAGATTCTCCAAGCAGCAGAACAAGTCTCCACAATTTATCATCCAACTTTGATGTAGGGAGCCACTCTCGAATATCACAAACTTCGATACAGTCAGGGTCGCCACAGGCGCAGACAGAGAAATCCATGGACGGGGACAGATCGTTCTCAGTTTCTTCATTTTCCAGGTTTGACTCCATCCTAGAAGAGTACAGTTGTCGTGTCCATCTAAGGGACTTGATGGCTTGAGAGACATGGTGTATAGCAGCCAGCTTAGACGATAATGGATCACCCACAGACTGCACAGCATCATCTGATTGTTTTGGAAAATTAGGGACTGAAACATCATTATCATCAATGCATAGAGGATTCTCGTTCTCCTTCCTCGCATCGAATACTTCAGGCAGTTCGGGTGAAGATACATTCTGTTTGAATGACGCATCGCCAGAACATTCTTGAGTGAGAAGTTCCAGGCATTGTGGGCTTTCTAGTTGTTTGACAGCTGTAACAGGAGGATATACAGCATCCTGAACGATAGATGCAGGTAACCCGCTAGCAAGCTCAAATGACTCCTCTTCTGCATCAGAAATGATAACTTCCGACTCCATTGGAAGCACTGCAGATGTCAGCTCCACCTCCTCATTGTATGTAAGCAGGAGCCTCGCAAATTGTTCATGAGCAAGTGCACGCACCACCTGTCCACAACACAGGCACAGACATAACCATTAAAATACTTTAATCAGGTGACCAAACAAGAAATGTTTTTCACTCGACATCATTTCACGAGGAGACATACCAAATGATCTGGCTCATCTAGGAAACTGATACATTTTTGGAAGAATCTTGCGCACCTTGCCCTGCTATTGGATGACTGCAACAAATGGATAATCAAGATTATAGATAATAGATAGTGCAATATAAAACCAATTAAATGAAATTTGCTGCATACCATTGAGAGAGAGAGTCTGTGCGCAATACGGTACAGTAGGGTGCCCAGCGAGAGTATAGAATCACTTCTCCCTCTATATATCAAAGACGGCAAAGAACCAGAGCTGTCATCGGAACTATCAGCCGCATGGCTTTTTGGAATGACAGAAAGATCAAACAGTTGTATGACATCTTCTCCCGCACTTTTATACAGCTGAATTAAATAAAAGTGGACATAAAACAAACCTTACGACAAATAAAAGCTCAGAGCAAACAATCAATAAAAAAAAAAGTACCCAATAAGCACCAGGGTCATGCTTGCAGTTCTCATGTAGGAATCTCATCACTGAAAGACCATTGTGTTGGACAACATGGGGATGAAAAGCAGGAGTTCCATCATCAGATATGCCCTTTAGTAGAAAAATATCGTCAGTCTTCAGAAGCTCATAACCTTGAACAACACCATTCTCATGGTAACAGATGGCCAATTCAGGAACACTAGCCATAAAGTTGTCCAACCAAGCTTCAAGCCAGGTTAATGGAGTGACCTGCAAAAGAATTTAGATAAGCACACAAAAAACGCCAAAATGGAACTTCCGAGGGGTCTCAAAGAGAGAAAAGATCTTTTTACCCACCTTGCGTGAGACGTCCCACAAGTGCAAGCTCACCGCGGCGTACTTCTCATTGCTAAAGATGAGCAAATCACTACCCAGAAGCATACGGAAATTGTGGAACTGCCAAAAGAGCACTCTTAAAAAGCCATCCTCGCCAATTTTTCTATATTTTTCAGATTCTTGAACTGGGCACCTTGGCTTTTCTTTAACTTCCGCCACCTTTTTTACAGTTTCACGACCTTTATGTCTCTTATTTTTCTTCTTACCCAAATACAGATTTTTCCTTCCAGCATGTGGCAACTCCTGCTGATGGGTAAACTCTTTGCTTCGGCCAATACCCTCCTGTTGCCCATAGGATGTATGCCCTTGCATTGGATGATCTGAGGATTCAAGTGAACCATCACTTGGCATGCACTCATTGGGGTGAGAATGTGACTTCAATTGCTCATCTGAAGAAGTATTGTGACTTGGAGGGCAATCACAAGCCTCCATTCTTACAGAATGCATAGCAAAATTTAAAAATAACGACTGATCAACACATTTTGGCTGACGATTTTGTCTTCGAATAAGTCTTTCTCCCTCTTCAATATCAGGCCTGCAGACAACCTTTTCAGAATGGTGACATTCAAAAGACTGCAAAATGCATAGAAACCTTACCCGCTATTCAGGACAAGAGTTTGTCCAACGCGGTGAACAGCAATTGACACGCGAGCCTTGGTGTATGGTATCTTAAATATTTGTTTCAGAACATCAGCAGGAGCAATGACATCTATCTCATCACCATACTCTGCTAAACCAGATACAGCGAGGGCTTCTCCTTTCCTAGCAAGATTAGACATGACAGAACTATCTTGCCAGTGTGAATCTGCCAGCACATAAAAGTATGACAATCAAAACAAAGGTCGTAAAATGTTCAAGCACAATCTCTGTCACCTGCAATCAACTACCTAAAAGGTTTCTTAAGGTTACAGTGCACAAGAATCACAAACTTAACCCCCTAAAATGGATTTAGCCAATTCAGTGACATGTGATGACAGAAGAAGAACACTACATGCAGAAGGGTAATTTCCATAAAATCGCTACAACTCCAGTTGATTGACCAGAAACTAGATCATTACAACCAAAGGGAGTGTGGTTGACCTTGAAAAACCTAGTTAATGCCATCTTCCATCATTCATGAAAGACAAAAAAATTCTATTTAGCTGCACTATGTAGATAAAGTACTTCAGGGTGAAAAGTGAGTAGATGCACCTGGAGCAGAAAAAATACACAGGACAAATCCAGAATTTGATTATCTATTTTAAGCAAATTTTCTTTTGACCTTTACCCAGAATCTTTTTTGAAGTATTATACAGCAGAAGTAAACGGTCTTGTCTACTATCTTGAATTTTCTTGGCATGACCCAAGCCATCAATAAAAAAAGTGTACATATGGAAATGACTATTACCATCCTTTGTCCTCAACTGCGTTGCAGCCATTGGTAGCACTTTTTCCGGGATGCTCGAGAGTAAAGGAAGCGCATTCAGATCTGTTTCTGTTGGAATCATTCGATACCTTGGAGCTTGTACCCTATGTTACCAAAAGTTCAATTCAACAGTCACGAGATCATTCACAAACGAATCACATGTCACTGACGTTATTACAAATTCCACAGGCAAGGAATACATAGTCTATAGACAGCTGACAACACGCAACACTCACTAACAGATACTGAAAGCAAAAGATAGCCAGTTCTAATGCTAGCTTGAACTAACTCCTCAGTCAATCATCTGTCCTTACACAATATTGCTACTTGAAAGTTAGCTAAATTTAACTAACCATCACATTAACACAATCAGCCACGACCACAGACACACAGAAGCATACCAGGTTATTAACACAATCATTAATCGTACCATTACAAAGCACACCCCAATGCCTAAACACAATCCACCAATTAAACACAGAAAAGCAGCTAAATAGTATGTTAATCGACATATTTCTGCCATAACTTAAGTAACAG